TAAATTAAGGGCAATTACTCTAACAAAACAGTAAAGCTCCATAAATGAAACCACAGGTACACAACTTCACATGCTGAGCAACATTCCTGTAAAGTTTTATAACTCTAGGTCAAATACTTTTTTCGCTACGTGCGACACAAGTTGATTATTTGCACATTTTTACTAAGTCAAGGGCAATAATTGTACAAATACTAAATAAATCCACACGCAAACACCCAGGTGCACAACTTCACGTGCTGACCAATATTCCTGTAAAGTTTCATGACTCTAGGTCAAATACTACTTTAGCTACGTGCGACACAATAGCGAATTGAGGGACGGACGGACAATGGTCAATCTAAATGCCCCTTAGTGGGGACACAACAATCCTATGAAGATAAACATTAAAAATGATAATTTACAGCAACAAGATGATCATTGCTACAATTATAAGTGATTTGAAGTTACATTACAAAAGGTTGGTATATTTTAGCTGATATAAAGAACATATGATTGGAATAATTGACAAAAGTGGTACTAAATACATATCATTAAAAATTGATAGAAATGCATACACCATTATCAATAGAATCAAAAAGTCAATAAAGGTTTTTTTTACCTCACACGTATTGTCTGTTACACCCGAGTGGGAGGATTACTAAAAGATTCTGAAAGATAGATAGATGTAATGATTTGGCAAAAACCATACTGCATTCTTAGCTGGTTCCTTCTTTAATTGTGCCAAATATTGAACACAACCAGATGTATGCCTTTGAAGAAAGTCCGCTTAACCTTAGAAGATACATTTGAGTTTTTAACTATATCTATATTCAGCTGCAAGAGATCAAGCTACGTCGAGCGTTTTTTGGATGTTGTGTTAAAAGTCTTGTGTGGACGACAGGTTGAGGTTCAGTAAGAACATTGGATATGTTCTCGTCATCATTGGAAATCAACATTGGTGTCATTTCAGAATGCAACTGTTCTTTGTCAATATGTACAGATAATGTTACAAAAGTCTTGTCCGGGGTTTTGTTCTTAGCTTGATAAAAGTTGAGCGGTTGGAGAAAAAGTAAATCAGCCATTTTGAGACGATTAATGTGTATAGCTTGTGATAATCATTAGAAACATCTTTTACGACAACCATCTGAGGACTGATCACGTCCGGAACAACATAGGGACCTTTGAAATTATTTCTGATCTATTTTACACATAATCACTAAGGGAGAGCAAGCATTCCTCTATATTCATTAGCATGCATCATCATTTTCTCCCGGTACTGAACAAGGTTCTCTTTCACATGATACCTTATCTACTGTAAGTGAGACATTTGGAAGAGATGTACTGCTGTACATCAGATGATGTGATGTTTCAAAAGGCAAATTGTGAAGATTCTGCCATAGGAAACTTGGGCCTTTGAGAAAGGGGAGCAGCCTGATCCAGCACTGACAGCAATATTTATGGCAAAAACAACACAATCAATGTGTAAATCCCTTATTGTTACATTCCGCATTTATGTAAGGTTGAGTTTTGCAACAAGAGCGGCATTGATACGGTCCACTGCTCCCATACAGAGATGTACACAGCTAGGGGAAAACTGTTGTTGTACATATAACAACCTACACAAATTTTGTCTTATTCCGTTTTGCTATAAGAACTGTCGAGCTGGTTTTAGGAATATCCTCAGACTTTGCTAAATTACAACTTTTCTGAATGTAAATAGCTTCATTACCTGGATTAAGTATCTTAACACTAATAAGATGACCTGGCATACAAGTGACAATCGCTCTTGAAACCAGAGCTCCGTTTTTTGTTAACTCAGAATGTCCAACACAGAGTCATTGCATGTCAGTCCCAACTCTGGTATCTTAAACTCACTGCCCAAGACATTCAGTGCTTGGTAAGATAATCAAAGTCTTTGCACTCTTATTTGTCTTCTTAACATCAAAAGTGAGACAATTCTTGCTAATATAGAGATACATATGGTCTTGAATATATTTCTTACTAATATCATAGGATGAGAACCCTTTTAAAAACATATACAACGGCAAATATCTAATGAATTTGTAATGCGAATTCTGGCAGAAGCACAAATACTCACAAAGTGATTGTAAGCTCAAGTAATAGAGTCTGAACACTGAAAACTCCAGCCTTCTTATGTCGCCTCTACGGAATAGTGGGATCACTTTTCCTTCGTCTGTATGTCTGTAAGTGCAGACTCAAGTGATATTGGGTGAATATCCATGTTCATTCCTTACAGACGTGTACATGTGAGGGAAAATGTTGCTTATTTGGTGCAAAAACGTTCCTTATGGGGTTTTAGAAATCAAAGAAGATCAAACAAAACCCGCATAATCTCAATTCAGAGAAAACGCCCGTCTGTCCGTTCGTCACAAAACTTGTTCGGACTACTACCCATAAACTACTGGTGCAATTTTATTCAAACTTTCTAAGAATCATCAGTACCAAGTCTATTTGTGCAATTTCAATAAAACTTAACAGGATTGATCTGCAGCTCAAGTCTTGTGCATATTGCAAGGGTTTTCCGGTTCAATGGTTTTTAGACGAGTTATGGCCCTTGAAAAAATGGTATCCAGACTACTTATCAAAAACTACTGGTACAATTTCATCAAAACTTTACAGGAATGATAAGTACTTAGTCTAGTTGTGCATATCTTTGGCTTTTATGATTCAATGAATTTTGTCGGAGTTATGGCCCTTTAATTTTTCTTTTTATGTTTGTCCGGATTACTCCTCTTATAACATTGATGCAATTTTATTGAAACTTTACAGGATTGATTGTTAGCTCAAGTGATTGCGCATATATCACGAGTTTTCCGCTTGAATGATTTTTGGCCAGTTATTGCCCTTAAATGAAAAGGGTGTTAATAAAGTTTGTCCGGACTACTCCTGTTATACCACTAATGCAATTTCAATGAAACTTTACAGGATTGATTTGTAAGTCAAGTTCTTGTGCATTATGCACAAGTGTTTCGCTGGAATGATTTTTAACTGAGTTAATACCTTTGTATAAAAAGTGTGTTTTTTGTGTTGCTAGCTATACAAAAGTTTTTCTGGACTACTACTAAAAAATTACTGGTGACATTTCATTAAATTTTTGAAGAAATGAAAAAACACCATGTCTAGTTGTGCATCTCATCAACATTTTTGGTTCATTATTTTTGTCAGAGTTTTGACCCTTTTATGAATTTAATTCTGAAATTTGTCTGGACTACTTCTATAATATCACTAATGCAATTTCAAGAAACTTTACAGGATTGATCGATAGCTAAAATTCCTGTGCATATTACACAGGGTTTTAGGTTAAATGATTGTTTGCCTAGTTAAGACTACCATGAGTCGACACATGTCATCACTGATAGCCCTTGTTAAGATTCTGGAATGGACTCAAACTTGACCGAGAAAGAACATTTACACTGCTTCCAAAAGCCAATAATGCTGTTAGTTTATTTATTTTAAAAACACATTCAAATACATTAAGTTCTGCGCGTTATCGTACATCATACTGTGTTCAGACTTGCCCGGAAACCAGGTCGCTTTTTTGGGTCCAGGTCTTGTTAATTTTCCGCTTTCCGTTGTAATGAGTCACAATTCTTTGCGATATGACCATTGATACCTCATATCCGGCACTTAGTAGTTTACTATTGAGGCACATTGAGATTTTAGGGATTTTTTTATTGAATATTGCAATGTGGCCAAATTGGTCACATAATTGACCTAGTAAAATCAATGTTTTCGAATCCATTCATATCCAATTACACGAACGTTGAATATGTATGAATGCGCTACACTCGTAGATGGGAGTTTCCAGCCTCCGAGTCCAAGGTTGTTTTCCTTGTAATGGAGACTTCAACAAGATTGCAGTAGTAGTTAAACTGTTTATAATACGGTAACCATGTGCCTCTTCAATTTTAGCAGAATGTTATGCATTACGGTACGAAGTGGTTCGACTGGCACGAGCAAATAATGTCAATTGATCTGGTAAGCCTAGAATAAATTTACTTTTTTATGCCACGTTCTGGTTTTCCAAGTTGATTTCCTTATTGAGTGGTATGAGTGCAGGAGAACTGAAAGTGTGATGGGTGTCTACCTTGACCCGAGACAAGAATGGAGCCATTTTTAAAAGGGTAGGATAGTGCAGTACCCTCTGTCCTAGTTGCTCACATTTGCTACTATGCTACGGAGAGGTCAATTATAAAGTTTTAACAGAAGTCACAGTTCCACAGTCACTGATAATTGTAAATGATCACGCTTAAACAACATCAAGGGAGATAACACATCGCACGTGGAGCCAAAGATTTTGTTATTTTAAGACAAAATGTACCTGAAAATCATAATTATTATATTATTATATCAATTTCAAAGTTCTGTAAATAAAAATCCGTTTTGATTCTCCACCTCTCCACAAAGTTGTTGATAACCAGATTTGGAGCATTAAATAGAAGCTTTTACATTTGTTGACTAATGTACATAAAGCAAACTACATTGTATATTTGATTTACAAGTTTATAACATTAAAAAATCGTTTTAAATCTTTTTCAAATATTGAAAAAATGGGGTTTTCATCCTATTTTATCTTGTTGGAAAATATCATTGATCAAAGGGATCTCGCATCTCAGCTTCAACAAAAACATTGTGTCAAGAGTTGTGTGACTAAAATAGATAAATAATATGTAATGCTTACAAGTTTAAATAAGAGAGATGCATTTCGTTTACTTTCAGTAAGAAATACCAAAATCAAACCCAATAAATTAAAATTTTATACTTAAAGAAAACTAAACAATCGAGAACGGTTTACAATGTGCACAATCAGACATTTTATGAAAAACATAAAAAAATCCCTTATCTCTGTAATGTGTCGAAGTGTCAATAACAAAACCGCAAATGTTCGTTAAACCAGATCGCGTGTCTATAATAAATTTAAAATACAAGTAGGTCAATCAAAACATAGTCTTTTGTGCGCTCGTAACTTGATATCTTTAGAACGCGCCTATCTTTTACGACATAATCCTAAAATGTCAATGCATGTGATAATAAAGTTAGACAATAACGAACGTTAAAATTGTAGGAATATGGTACATTATTTTATTTAATTAGGCTGGATAGCAATATTTTGCGGTAAGATTTTTGGAATTATTTCATTATATGTAACTTAGAAATAGTGTATTCATTACGTCAAAAGAACAAATAGTTTGTATAAATACAGTCGTTTTAATGGTTTACAATGTTGTTGGGTTTTGTTTGGGAATGTGTTTTTTAAATATCCCTTCCTTGTTATCAAACATTGGAAATATAAGACATATCTTTCTTTTAATAAACTTTCTTTGTTACGTGCTTGACTTCTAAAACATTAATTAACGTCATTTAATATGATAATGATAATTTCAGGGTTTTTGATCTCTCTTATTATTTCATGATCAATAAAATAGAGTACCACAAAGGCCAATATAAACCCCAATAAAAAAATTAGGGAAGAAACCCAATCAAGAAACTTGTCTCAACATTTCTTTACCTCCCCTCCCTCCGCCGGAGGATATTGTCTTATCGTTGACCGTCCGTCATTCCTTCCGTCCGAAATTCGTTTCGTACCAGTTCTCTGCAAATACTGGCTGGAATTCAACGAAACTTTATGGGAACCCACTGGGACTGCAATGTCATATACCCGTCTCCTGTCTTGCTTCTTTTGGCTCTTGTATTTAAAATTCTTGCTGCTTTGTCTTGTTTAAGACATTGCGAACTTTTGTTTTGGTCATTTTTTTACTTATTATATAAATCTAGATGAGCATTTCTGTGTTTTACATATTTGATCTTTAGTAATCATAACAACTGTTTGAACTTCATTTGATGGATATTTATTAATTCCCTTCAGCAAAGCGGGGAGAAGATTAAAAGAAAAGCTTCCGAATGTCAGTCCGTTCGTTATCAGTCTGTCCGAAACACTTTCGTTTTCGCTCCATTATGCTGAAAATGTTTTGGAATAACTTGGCACAAGTGATCACTATAATAGGACGATGTGAAGAATAATTTGGTTGCTACCCCCAAGGTCAAGGTCTCACTTAAAGGTCAAATGTTCAAATGTCTACATAAATAAATTGGCAGAAATGATGATCAATATAAGGCGATGTGCAGAGCGCAATAATTGGGTTGCTACTACAAAGGGCAAAGTCGCACCAAACGGTCAAATGTAACATCTATTTTTCATGTCTGCTCTATAACTTATTAACAATTGAAAAGTTTTATAATTACTTGGTACAAATGATCCACTCCATGACACAATCTTCAAAGCGCAACATCTACGTTGCTCGCTCGAAGTACATCCAGGTTGCTACCCTCAAAGCCAATGTCACACTCAAAGGTCAAATGATAAAGTACAAATTTCCTGTCAGCTCCCTACTACTAAAAAGTTTTTAAAATGACTGAACAAATGATCACCATAACGACATGATGCATGAAGCGCAATGTTCATGTCGCTACCCCTAAGGTCTATGTCACACAAATAGATCAAATGATAAAAGTCAACATTTTTGTGTCTTCTTCATAACTTTTAACTTTTGATTTTTTTATTATTTTGGTACACATGATCGCCATTATCACCTACAGAGGGCAACCTACAGGTAGCTAGCTCACCCAAGATTAAGGTTATTACATAATCGACATCTCCATGTCCGATGCGGAAGGGGATTTAGCTGTCCTTTAGACTGCCTTGTTTCATTTACACTGTCTCAAAATAATCAAAAATTATTTAATTTTACTTTTGTTGTAACTTTTTTTATGTGAGATCACTGTGTTTAAAGTGACATTATGCCCACCCAAGGGTATAAATGAGAGAACAAGTGAGTGTCAAAATAAGTTTTCCTTTTGCAATAATTCCTTTAAATATAGAAATTTATTTCATATTAACAATAAACAACACAAAATTTTCGTGAATATCCATTAGAATTTACTTGTAACGTTCATTTCATAAAAAATAGGGGCAGTCTTTTTATATTTTAGACATAAAAATTGTTGAACTGTTTATCAATCACCATTTTAACTGTCAATCTTATGAAATATATAGTCAGTTCAGCTCAACTTGACTATGAAAATATGAGCATAATGTCTCTTTAAGGTTATTTAGTACTTCATTTGTTTGAAAAACATTTTAAATTTCCACCTAACTTAGATGACAAATGGTCAGTGAAAGTTTTCTAATTGGCCGTTTCATACATCTAATGGTTTTATGTGGTGTCATTCATGAAAAAAATCTATCTTTTCTATTTTGACGGTTTTTTTGTGATTGTCTGTTCATGGCTTATGCGTTAAGCCCTTTTTTGATGGAGTAGAAGATTATTTCCAGCTTTTTAGCTTTCTATGTCAAATGATAATCTGTGTGCAGGAAACCTGTGTTAATGCCTATTGTTATGAAGGCTATTTACAACTGTTTGTGACAGAATATTTCGAAGACTGCGTTGTGTGAACGTTAATCTGGCCCTATAACAGTAGGGGAAATTGCCCGTTTGGGAATTAAGAATTGGGTTTTTCCTTACTTCCTGAAAGGGAAGATTTTTATTATAATTAGTTACAACCTTCCTGTTCAGGAAGTAAAATTGATAGAGCTCACTCAAATGACCCGGTGCATAAGGATATTCATCCGATCTTAAAACTAAAAATGCCATTTTAATCTAGAAAAATATATCTAACATATTACCGTTCAGATTTTAAAAATAATTAGTAGTTTTTTTTTATTTGATATTGAAAATGTTAATAAAATCAGAGCTTCCCAATTTGGAAAAAAACTCTCAAACGGGAATATCAGATTCCAAGGTACTTCCCAATTGGGCAAACTCTTTCACAAATTATGGCGTTTAGGAGAAATAAACCATAAAAAGTTGAACTTTAGCACATACATAAAATATATAATTATCAATAAAGACCTAACTTTAAGTTACAATTTAATAGAGCTATATACATGTATCTAAAACAGCAGAAAGAGCATTATGATGCAAACAATTTTATCACATAACATCAGGTCAATAATATTGGGAGAAAGAGGCCATCAAGTAGATTGACGTCAGGAAGAAAACAACAGTCAAACCTGAAAATGAATATTATTTGCTTTTATAAGCCATGTATATGCATATGTGAAAACAACTGAAAAGCCAAAATCCAATTAATAAGATTTATATTATGTATGAGTGTTTTCAATCAAACTATCTAGTAATATACAATCATTCTATTACATTTTTTCTTCTATTGATTGCATCTGATGTTGCAAAACTCGCAAATTTTATTTAAGTATTTCACAGCATCCATTTAGGTGGCTTGATCAATTTTAATAACCTTAATATCAATGTTATCAACATGCGATACACAGCCTTAGCAATATGATACAGTATTCTTAAAAAAAATTGTGTATAAACCATTTCACCAGCCTTTCGTAATTTATCGGAAACATTCGTAGACACGCATCACGTGGGAGATTAAGTGCTTATATGTTTGACCAATGAAATACTGGTTCTCGAGTGTACATGTATTGTTTATATTTACGATAATGGCGGGTGATTCAGCGGCTGACGAGCGAGTGTTTATTGTATTAAATAAATGCTTATTCTTCTGGAAAACTCCCACAAACACTTTCATTTTGGTGTACGGACGGACATAATCCCCTTCAGTCAAAATCCCTACTTTCATTTTTTAAACTACTTTCTGATGTCAAATTTAAACATTTCATTATCAGAATCCAATGGATTATCCTCCGCATCGGTCTCAAATGTAAGCTCAAATACTGACGGCCGATTTTCGTCGTTTACCATGATTTTTTACCGATTTGTTAACTCAAATTAATGTTATAACCATTCAAGTTACGGTTTTTTTCTATTCAAAATGTAACCCGATTTCTGATTGGCTAATATTTAAATATTCTCGGGGAATACCTTGAAAACAACCAATGATTTACGACGCTACAACGTGGCGACCGGGAAGTAAAGCAAGTCTTATCTAGCCGCATATATGTGGCATGCAGGACAGGTGTAAAGTCGATATCGACTCGTTATCGTGGCGTTAGGTATTGGAGAGAACTTTTAACTGACGCATTATCGTGGCGTGAGGGGTCAATGAGTTAACTATAACGGCATATTTCTCTAAATATTTCAACTTTGTGATAAGAATCCGCCATGTAAATTTCCTTTGTTTATTTTTATGTTTCTATTATTAGTAATAGATTGTGCATGCATCCACCAGCATTTGATTGGTCAGTTGATTATATGCTCGGAATCTGATCGTAGCACTTCGCTAATTTACGTGAGAAATCGTAGTGAAATCGGCTATAGTATCCAGATGTTGCAAAGCTTCCTTTAATATATTTCGTTTGGTTCTGATAACCTGATCTTCATTTATATTCCCTCGAAGATGAGGGGGTATATTGTTTTACTTATGTCTGTAGGTCGGTCTGTCTGTCGGTCCGTCGGTAGACCACATTGTTTCCACTGATTATCTTTAAAAGATTTATCACAAAGTCTTCATATTTCATACACTGATTGGTCATAACGAGTAGATGGTCCCTTTTTATTTTGGAATCACTAGGTCAAAGGTCGAGGTCATTAGGGCATTTAATGGCAAAATGATTTCCGCTTATTATCATAATGATAACTTTTACTCAGTTTCAGGTCATGTATTAGCCATTATATTTTTTTTCCATAACTGAACACTTCCACATTCACGGCCTGTTTCTATTAATAACAAAAATACGAATGATATGAGTCAAGGGCTAGAAAGGGGGGGGGGGGCATACGTGTCATTCGACATATCTTGTTATGGTAAAAATTTGTACCACACTTAAACAATATAAATATAATATAAATTTACCAGAAGCCGTAATTGTTAAATGAGTTTCCCCGATTTGGTAGTAGCTTTGAATCTGAGTTTCCCGTTTGCAAAGTTTTGTTCCCAAATCGGAAAGCTCCGTTTTTTTCATTTTCTGCGGAAAATGACCATTTTCAATATCAATAAAAAAAGACAACTAGGGAATTCTTAAAACATCAGCACGGTAATTTTTCTAAATAAAATGGCATTTTCAGTGTTTAGGTCGGGTGAATACCAATGCACCGGCTCATTTTAGTGAACCATATAAAAAACAGTGATTTTATTTCCCGAACTGGAAGGTTGTTACTAAATATAGTAATAATCTTTGCGTTTAAGAAGTAGGAAAAAAACCCAATGCTGACTTCCCGAACGGGTAATTTCCCCTACTTTTTAATGATAGATTAATAATTATTAATCATGATATTTGTTACAAATAACAATGGCACAAATATTGCTGAAAGAGGAAATACGAAAATTAGGTATCTTACGTAATCATAACAATATTTTTGTATATGCATAGGTTCAACATTGTTGTTTTTTATTGTTCTAAAAAGAATAGAAACTACTTACTTTTTCCAGGATGTTTATAGGTTTACAGTGATTCAAGCGGAGTATGGATAAGACCGATGTTAAATCGACGGTAATAATGATTTTTTACTGTAAATATATGATAACAAGATATTTTTTTCAGAAAATCAAAATTTAATTTCTATGAAGTATAAAAGTATTATTCGGAGTTGTAATCATTAACAAAACTAGTAAGAAATTACAAACAAACATGTTCATACAGTATAAAATAAATAGTTTTCTGCTTACATTGACAACGAAACCACTGCGTTTGGTTTGCTTAAACTTTCATAACTCTACTTGTGTATTATGTATATATCGCCGTCAGGGCCAATATATAACCATATACTTCAATCGAAATATAAAGATTTCACTTGTACTGACTTTTATGTTTGTTATACCATCAAATAAGATTTATAAGATTTTTACCTCAGTTATTTCTTCTTGAAAACCAAGCGTCAATGAACATGAAATAACAACTGAAATACTAGTATCATTAGGTTAACGTATAATATTTTTGTCTAAAGTATATTTCCACATGCCGTTCTTGGATAAATTGTTGGCATTACTTAACTAATATGTTAACCACATCGAGACCCTGTGTCAAACGCTTTTGCGAGGTCTCTACCTAAAGTTATCTAAATATCTTAAGAACACATGAAAACGCATGTCTAGAGAAAAACTTCTATGAAATGATTTACTGACTGACAAAAATGTTCACCAGAATGAGACGCTGTATTGCACTAATTAATCGGGTCTAAACCAAAAGTCAAGATCACGCTTGAAGGTCATTGACTAACATTGTCCAAATGGAAACTTCTACATACATAGAGGTTGTGTCATAAAAACATTGTGATGCATTGTTGATTAAAAAATTCACGTCCCCTTCCTAATGTCAAAGCACGTGTTGAGGTACTAAGCATAAATCACCACAAATAACGTAATGTGAATATTGATCGTTTAGTCAAAATGAGAAAGATTTAACTGTAAAAACACCTTTTGTGACGTGCGAATTTTGTGACACATTTGATTGGCATTCTTGTCTTTGATCAATAGAATTATTGTATCTAAGATAAATTTCTTGTCATTATCCTTTTTGTATTATCTGTTTTTAAAGACAAAGATAAGCACGTCATCTTATAAAAATCGTCATTTTAACAATTTTCTCCAATAATTTAAACAAATTGGTCATTTTTTTTGCAAAATCAACATTTTTTTACTTTCTTTTTAATAAATGATTTCCAAAATCTTGTTGCAACTAAATATCAAGTATATTTTTTAAACTTGTTTCTGATTGGACAAAAAAACGTATTTTAACAAACATACGCTATTTATCTGTTTTAAATGTGTATTCTTACACTCCTTAAGGTTAAATCAGCAGGCCTCCAGAAGTTAACAAAAATATACCGTCTTAATAATATTTCAAAATCCTTCCTCAAAAACATTATTTAGTTGAAAGAAATCAAAATGACACTTAAAAATGTTCATAATATTATTTCAACAATTTTTCTCTGAAAATAATCTGTATTACTTTTTTTACTTTTCGGCCACTGAAAAATGACTTCTTTTATTATACCACGGAATATTTTCACCCAGTTCTTTTCCAAATACCACGCAATTGACTATACAGATCAATTTCGCGACCTGTGATCCAGAACGTAAGATGGAAACGAATAAACTGATTGGTTTTGATATTTGTAGTACATATGGCACATACATGTATGTGGCAATAAAAATTAAAATCAATTAATTATATAATAAATATGATGACAAATATATCGATTTAAACTTTAGCTTGAAATATAATTATGGCCTACTTATTGACAAAAATTGATATACGACCCTGGGCGTACCAGATACCAGGATTATTTTCGAACCACTTTTATGGCACGTGACCATGTTGAATGAATTATCCTCTCCTATATATTGGCTGTTGCATTAGTAACAGAGTAGATTATGCAAGAACCATGATATGCTGACGCTTTGTGTTATCATTCTTTCTTGAATTAAAATGTCAGTAAATATTGATTTACTCATAAAACCTAAGTACATCAGTATTTACCGTTTACTTGAAATTTTACGTAATTTATTTTTCATTTAAGCAATTGGAGGCCAGTGGCTTTAAACCAAAAATTGTTGTATCTCTAGATGTCGGAAGCACCTATTCGGGATACGCCTGGCAATGGAAAAAGGATAATGATAGTTGCAAAGACATAGTGGAAATGAACATGAATTGGGAGTATGCTCCAATCCAGGCCAGTAAACTAATCCATTTTCTATTGAGTGTTTCATTTATATTTTTGCAAGCGTAAACATTTTTTCTTGTCTCTTATAAAAGGATAAAATATTCATCAAAATTCATTTTTTTCTAATAACTAAAATAGGGTTATATGATTCAAAGCAAATTAATGCATCTAATATTTCACGACAAAAATGTGCATATACGAGAACATTACTTTAGTGTTTCATGAGAAGTTTTAATAACTTTGATGCGGAAGTTTAGATAAGAGAATTTGAAAATACTGCATAGCTAAAAATGATTGGAGACTAGATTCTTGCATGTTTATGATTACAGTTCATCATTTTAAATTGCTTCTGATATTGATGTTAAGGTCAACAAGTTGAGTATTGTTTAGTAATATAACCCCATACCATTGTCTCTATTTCAAATTAGTCGTCTACAAATTTAGAATACATGTCTTCTCATTAAAATTTACTTTACGGCCAAAATCTATAATTATTGTTATGTTGTTATCTACACATGTACAAATATTCTAAATAAAATATGTTTAAACCAAAATTTACTTTGAAATTTATATCGAGGTGACACTCATTTTGATTGATATTATGTCAACTTGAAACCGAAAGAATATTATAGAGCTATTTCTATCAGACATCAACATAAAAATTACGTGTAATTACAATTTATTTAGATTATAAAAACAAAGACTTGCATTTTGATTGAGACAAAAGTTAATTGTCCTTCAAAATGTGTTGCCATTGGATATGAAGCTGAAAGGATATTTACTGACAGAATGGCTAATATGGACGACTCTTGGTATTTCTTCAAGGAATTCAAACTACTTTTATATAAAAAGGTAAGAATGTGTGCCTTAAACATAGATCTAGTACATTTCCCTGATATCAATTAATGTTTCAATAAGAAGGCATGGGTTAATGTTTTCTTTTACTTAGATTTATATGTTGATGTCCAAACCATCTCATTATTTATACAAAAGGTGACGTAACACAGACAGACAAGTTCATTTGGAATAATGAAAAGAGCAATTGAAAAGAAAAGAGACGAATGACTTCTTAAAATGTAAAATAATAGTTTGATTGTTATATTCAGCCAATCAAAGTATAGCTACAAATGATTTAATCAATTTATTTGATAATTCATAACATCACAACGGCTTTGATGCTAACATCTTGAATGTGTTTTTATCTAAACACAATGAAAATATTTCAGAAATCAAATTATATATAAACATATTTCTTGTACTGTTGTATTCTCATTGTGTTTATAATTTCGCTTTAAAAGGTCATTACAGCCACATGTTTGGAATATGTCCATTACATGTTTTTATATTTAACAGGAATAATAATACTTTATACCTGCATACAGCGTATTTCTACATTCAAGATTTCAAAATGTTGCATCAATTTCGTGTTCTGAATAACCCGCGCACGTTATATACCAGGATTTGCAAAAAGATTCACAACTAACCCAAGACATAAGACAATTGTCCATAGATTCATGAATTTTGCATACACGGTATAATTCAAGAAAGCTTTCCTCAAATTCTCGTTTAAATACATGTATGGTATGTCCTTTTCTGCGATAAGTCAGAATCAGAGAATGACTGTACGTACACATGCTTACTTTTTCATTTTATTTGATTTCCCTGAACTTACTTTTCTTCTCCTCTCGTTTCATTTCTTTATCGCATGTTTTTCTTTGCTTTGTTTTATCTAATATTCAGGCCTACTTTCGCTTTACTCCGGCAACAGACTATTTCTTATGCTTAAACTTATGCAGAGCTTTATCTCATTTTTCGATAATACTTTGAACCAGACATTTCGAATATGTGTCAAATGCTTTCAGCTTTTCTTGTTTAAGACCTACGCAAACGTTGAATGCTTTTGAAGCTTATTATGTTAATGTTTGACAAATACTACTTATGCTAGGAATAAAATCGGGAAGTACAGTTTACGTTGTAGTTAAAACAAATGCTACACCAGTGTACGAAAGACCGGTAGGGCGATTTCAACGTCATCAAATCTTGATTTCATCTTCTTGAATTCACAATCTTAACTTTATTTGTGAATTCCCGTTTTCCACATACTGAATTCACGAATTCACGAATTTACGATTTCAACTTCGTGAATTCATGATTTCAACTTCACAAAATTCACAATTTCAACTTCATAAAATCCCGATTTTAACTTCACGAATCCACGATTTCATCTCCATGAATTCAACTTCGTGAATCACAAATTCACCTTCATGAATTCATAAATTCAACTTCGCGAATTCACGATTTCAACTTCACGATTTCACAATTTCAACTTCAAGAAATTCACGATTCTAATTTCATGAATTCACGATTTCAACTTCATGAATTCAACTTCGTGAATTTACGATTTCAACTACATGAATTCACGATTTTAACTTCATGAATTCAACTTTGTGACTTCACGATTTCAACTTCATGAAGCTGAAATTGTGAATTCGTGAGGTTAAAAACGTTAATCCATGAAGTTGTATTCGTAAATTTGCGAAGTTGAAATCGTGAGTTCGTGAAGCTGAAATCGTGAATTCACGAAGTTGAAATCGTGAATTCATGAAGTTGAAATCGTGAATTAATGAAGTTGAAAACCTTTATTCATGAAGATTATATTCGTTAATTGGTGAAGTTGAAATCGTGAATTCGTGAAGTTAAAATAGTGAATTCACAAAGTTGAAGTCGTGAATTCATGAAGTTGAAATCGTTAATTCATGAAGTTGAAATCGTGATTTCGTGAAGTTGTAATCGTGAATTCGTGAAGTTGAAATCGGGAATTCATGAATATGAAATCGGGAATTCATGAAGTAAAAAATGTCGCAACCGGTCTTTCGTTCCAGTGAAACTGATGTAAGAATCCTTTGACGGATGGCAGAGATAAAGTCATCGGAAAAAAACATGAATCCGATCCTAGAGTTTCTGATCTGCAGATACCGGTACTTAGTGCACACCACTTATAGCTTTAAAACTATCAAGCTGTGTTGTATATATTCCGCCAGCTGTGCATGGAAACATGAACAATGTAGCTTTACCACGTGACTTTTCGGGTACGTTACACGCAGATTTTACACCGATTTGGTATGTTTTCTATTAATAACTTTGCCGTTACTCATCCGATTTTGATTAGTAAAGACAGAGAGTATTCGTAATCATATCTGCTACCCACGGTAAATCAAAGTTTTGAAAACCCCTGGATGGTGTTTGAGAACATTCGAGTACAGTTTTGCTTCATTGCCGGGACCGAGGAAACGGTACCCAACCAAACAAGCGTTTTCTAGCAAGTCGTCCGTTCTTTTTCACTGTTTCTTATAAAAATGAATGGTAAGTCTTTTATATTTACTATGTCCAATGTCTCTAGTGAATGTAGTGATGTTTTAGCATATTTTCATAAAGTTACGTTGAAATGGTACGGAACACACTGCTATTTTAAAAGATGTGGTACACAACATTTTTTGTGTAATTGAAATAAATCTGATAAAGATACTAAAGTTTGCTTGTACTTATATACTTATAATGTGAGCGTTTTTTCTCATATATATTTATTTCATTTAATCCTACGTGAACCCTGATGCCTGTTTTGCAAGGTATCATTACACTTAAAACTTTCTGTGAAGAGATTTTTTAAAACAAAAGAACATTTTGATAGAATGTCGTGTCCAATTCGATCGTAAAATGTTGCACAATTAATATTTTGGCTGAAATATGTTAATATTACAGGTTATTACTGAAGAAGTGAAACAATGAAAAAGAACGGACGACTTGCTAGAAATCGCTTGTTGTATACATGAGTGTGTACCGTTCCCTCAGCGCCGGTTATGATAACTAAACTGTACTCGTATGTTTTTAAAAACCACTCAGTGATTTTTAAAACTTTGATTTACCTTGGGTAGCTGATATAATTAGGGATACTCTGTGCCCTATCTGATCAAAATCGGTTGAGTTACAGCAGTTATTAATATAAAAGCATTACCGAATCGGTGAATAATCTGCGTGTACAGTACCCGAAAAGTCAATGATATGGCCACAACAATGAACTCCTTGCAGCAGACTGATATCACAGGGAAGTTTTACATAGTTATAGACATTTTGATATTTTTTCATCTGCCATCATTTGACTACAGATAAGCTACCATGATGACCAATGGACACCTGTCGCTTGTATCACGTGTTTCATTAGCCAACAAAGCAAAGCAAGTTTCATTTACGTACAAAGTTTTACAAAAAACAAACATCGAATTATAATTTCTATATACATTTGAAAGAAACGAAACAGTATGTTTACAAATAACGATTCTGTAAAATGACAATGGTTACACGACCTGGCGCACAACACCATACAATGAATGACGTTCATGACATCGCAAAATAAATACAATATATCACAGGTGTCATTGTTTTTGGTAGTTTTCCTCCGAGTAAGCTATGTCTCTGGACCATGTTACTACGACCAGCCTTTATTTATTGAGATGTAGCAAGAAGACTTCACAGAATAGCCGTTCAATGTCTGAATAACCTCAAACATGAATATAATGTCATTTAAATATAATGGAACGTGTTTATGGTATATATGGAAAAATGGGACGACAATAATGAATGAACTTAGAAGTACAAAATTTTTTATGCGTTGCTCCAGATGCGCGTAGCCATGGTTATTTAATATGGACAGGGAATACGCGTTTAGCAGAATAATTTTATATGCCAATACTCAAACTATAGGAAAGATTTTAAGATAGCCGTACATATAATTATATTGTTAAGTTAATTGAATAATTGAACATGAACACGCAAGACTATAAGTCCTATTTATTTTGAAGCAACTCTACAATAAAGATGTGTTGTTATGATTGCAAAAATACAGAGACGTGCTCTAAGAAAATAATTAGTCATTGAATTAAAAGTATTGCTTGTGCTATATAAACCTTAAATACGGACGCAAATACAAATAATGGCAAATGGCACAAAATTATGAATGGCAAATATAATTTGATATTTATCTACCTTGAATTGGGTCAATTTACTAGGGAGGCGGAATTACCATACTTTGCTCTGTAAAAGATTATACACAATATAATTATTATCTTTCTCCATATACGTATACAACTAAGAAACAGTTGTTATTTTTCAGGATTTCAGAGAAGACATGTTAATAGACGATGTATGTGGAAGACATTTTCCTTTTTTTGAAGTCATGTCCAAGTTCATCGAAGCATTGAAAAATCACTTCCTGGATAGGATGGCCAAAAAGGGATTACACATCCGGGATATAATGTGGGTTTTAACAGTCCCAGCAATTTGGTCATATGAAGGCCGAAACTTTATGCGAAAAGCAGCGGAACATGTAGGTTTTATGTTGACGTTTTTAATGTATGGTTTGTTACATTATAGCAAAGATAGTCAAAAAAGATAAAAGCGTAGAATTTGAAACGTTAAGTAGTTAAACGATGAAAAGTAAAACATAAATTGATTACGCCTGTTTCAAACGAAATTGGTAAATGCAAGCTAACGTCCGAACACCTTTAGAAATCCTCAAGCAGATTTCAGTTTTTAAATATGAAAATGATAAAATTTAGAAAGTCTTCCATTATTATACATATAATTATTTGGCGATATTTAAGAAAAAAAATCCATGCAATGCTTTCTGCTATTCATAAAAGTCGACGTATGATCCAAAAGTTATGAGTGCTTCGTGAGGGAGAAAAATAATGAGGGGACCATTATTTAATTTTGAGAGGGGACCAGATATAATGAGGAAAGTTACATACCCGTATGGTGATTTTACATTTTATGAACGGAGGTCCATTTGAATTATGCGAAAATGATTCGTTATATAAAAAGTATAATGTAGGTTCAAAAATAAAATGTTCAATACAGTTAATTTTTATACTTCATCTGACAAAACAAGGTATGATTGTCTTAAGACTTGTTAATAATGTTTGGCCCCTTCGTCTATGTAATGAATGTTTCTGGTTTTAAAAACTTATAATGTTTAATGGTAAATCAAAAGGGCGTAAACGTATAGAAATACAAATTGTTATCTCCCCTAATGGTCGCTTTTATATATTTAAGTTATTTCATGAAACATTTGCTTATAATAAGTGCATTAAATAAAAATGTTATTAAAACCTTTAGGCTACAAAAAATGCGCTGATTTACTTTGATTATTTTAGCGCCTCTAAAACGATGCTTAATAATAATAATAATAACACCAAATTTAAATAAATATTGAAATGTATTACAAGCACAGACGATATTAAAGACGAGAAGAAACTCCAAAGAAAAATAACATCAAGTAGCAAGCTTGTACAATAAATTAATAATCCATAAATATTGTGATGTAAAGTGATACATGTTTGTAAATTTGCTCAATAAAACACAAAAAAACATTGATTTAAGTCTTTTTTTTTGAAAAAAAAAAGAATTTTCGAAACCTATATAATATTACTTCGTACAATTCGTATGTAATTCAACTCCGTAAAACGTATAAAAATATTTTTTTCTTAATCTTCTTCCTCCCTCCATTTCTAACCTGTGCTCATTTGAACAAGCTAATGAGTCATTGTGTCCGGCTTAATGGTGACGTTTCGTACGTACGTATCTAATGACTTATTTGTCATGAACGTTAACATTTTTTTTTAATTTGGTGCATAGACTCCAATAAACTCATTAAAGTATTAATAAAATAATGCCGCAATCGCTGCCGAGTCTTATATGGTTTTGAATTAAACGCATGCTTTACTGCGGATTAACACAATCTGTTTTGCAAGTTGTCAAAAAAATAAAGTGAATTTAGCTTTACACTTCGGAAACATTTTTAAATTTGTAGCCTTCTTGCAAAACTTTTAACATACATTTCAACAAATTGAAAAGCACTGTTTTTTTTCTTCTTTTTTTTTACAGAAATAATGAACAGTACAATTGGTCTGTTTTCATGTAATGGGGGTAGTTTACCGAATTAAAATCAAGTTATGTGTAAACGTTCCTCAGATGATATAATCTAAAAATAAGCTGTCTTATCCTTTTTTTTAATTATATATTTAATCTTTTTATTATATAGTGTGGCATCGATGGCGAAATGTTGGAAATTGCTCTTGAACCGGAAGTTGCTGCTGTTTACTGTTTAAACCTTCCGCTTGAAGAGAGGAAGACAATGTGGGACTTGGGGAATATTGGCCAGTCTTTTCTCGTAGCAGACCTTGGAGGTAAACATATTTGAGTAAATAACTTTTTTAAATATAGAAGAACAGCTGAAAGAATTAACTCTACATAGTTTTTTTATTTATTATTGTTACAGAAACAATATATTCCATAGACAATACAATTCAATGCGCATTTCTTTTAGCTTATTTAATCTAAATGATTCTTTGTTATGTACGAAACAAAGTGAAATAAATTGTCTATTCTTGAGAAAAAAAGTATATCTATAATCAATAGAATATCTCTATTCCTTTCGCTGAATTTAATTTTTATCCATGTGAGTAAAGTGTCTAATTTGACATAATATGTGAAAGCTTAACTGCAATATATTCAAATTCCTTTACCGATACCGCAAATGTTGCTGGCTTTTCTTTTTTTACATTGTCTCTATAAATATCAATTCAAGTTTTAAAGTCTTAATCCATAATTTGTCCATCGATTTAAGTCTTTTTTTTTGCTTTTTTCCAAAAAAAAAAGAATTTTCGAAACCTATATAATATATACTTACGTTCCATCACAATTCAGAAATGGACTTCTTCAAAATGAGATACGGCTGACAGAAGAAGCGAAAAAGAACAATTCGTATGTAATTCAACTCCGTAAAACGTATAAAAATATTTTTTTCTTAATCTTCTTCCTCCCTCCATTTCTAACCTGTGCTCATTTGAACAAGCTAATGAGTCATTGTGTCCGGCTTAATGGTGACGTTTCGTACGTACGTATCTAATGACTTATTTGTCATGAACGTTAACATTTTTTTTTAATTTGGTGCTTAGACTCCAATAAACTCATTAAAGTATTAATAAAATAATGCCGCAATCGCTGCCGAGTCTTATATGGTTTTGAATAAAACGCATGCTTTACTGCGGATTAACACAATCTGTTTTGCAAGTTGTCAAAAAAATAAAGTGAATTTAGCTTTACACTTCGGAAACATTTTTAAATTTGTAGCCTTCTTGCAAAACTTTTAACATACATTTCAACAAATTGAAAAGCACTGCTTTTTTCTGTTTTTTTTTTTTTACAGAAATAATGAACAGTACAATTGGTCTGTGTAAACGTTCCTCAGATGATATAATCTAAAAATAAGCTGTCTTATCCTTTTTTTTAATTATATATTTAATCTTTTTATTATATAGTGTGGCATCGATGGCGAAATGTTGGAAATTGCTCTTGAACCGGAAGTTGCTGCTGTTTACTGTTTAAACCTTCCGCTTGAAGAGAGGAAGACAATGTGGGACTTGGGGAATATTGGCCAGTCTTTTCTCGTAGCAGACCTTGGAGGTAAACATATTTGAGTAAATAACTTTTTTAAATATAGAAGAACAGCTGAAAGAATTAACTCTACATAGTTTTTTTTATTTATTATTGTTACAGAAACAATATATTCCATAGACAATACAATTCAATGCGCATTTCTTTTAGCTTATTTAATCTAAATGATTCTTTGTTATGTACGAAACAAAGTGAAATAAATTGTCTATTCTTGAGAAAAAAAGTATATCTATAATCAATAGAATATCTCTATTCCTTTCGCTGAATTTAATTTTTATCCATGTGAGTAAAGTGTCTAATTTGACATAATATGTGAAAGCTTAACTGCAATATATTCAAATTCCTTTACCGATACCGCAAATGTTGCTGGCTTTTCTTTTTTACATTGTCTCTATAATATCAATTCAAGTTTTAAAGTCTTAATCCATAATTTGTCCATCGATCATTTCTTTAGGTGGAACAGCAGATTTGGCAGCTATTAAAGTTAATGCTAAGGGCACTCTTGACATTATCCGTCACGCACAGGGAGCACTTATAGGTGGACAAAACATCAATAGTGCTTTTTTCCAAGCCATACATGAAAGTTTCGAGGGAGATCTATTTAAGACTGTCTTTCGAGATCCCATTGAATTATTAGAAATGGAAGATGATTTCGAGCACAAAAAGGTCAACATTGTATCAACAAAAGAACTCAAATGTTCTATCAACCTTACGGTTCCATCACAATTCAGAAATGGACTTCTTCAAAATGAGATACGGCTGACAGAAGAAGCGAAAAAGAAGGGAGGGTTACAGATAAACAGAGATAAACTGCTCTTTGATCCATCTTACATTAAAGAATATTTTTTCAAAGAAACGTGCACACGAATATCCAAAGAGATAGAAAAAATGCTGAAATTACCGGAATTAGGTAATGTAAGTATAATCGTATTGGTTGGAGGGCTTTCAGGATCGAGCGTTGTAGTATCACAAATTAAGGACCTGCTGAAGGAATCATTTCCTGAAGTTAGAGTTGTTGTGCCAACATCACCGTTTCGAGCGATTTTGACAGGGGCGGTACTGTATGGTCATAACCCAGAAATACTTAACAGTAGAAGGAGCCCAGCTACATTTGGAGTGAAAACAAATAGCCTGTTTGACGCTGCCGTCCACAAAAGCGATAAAAAATGGATACATAGTGCATCTGGAAAAGCCTATTGCAAAGATATATTCTCCGTACATGTATGGGAGGGTGAATTAATCGTTTTGAACGAAAAGCAGCCAGTAAAGAAATACTTTCCGATGGATGCAAACCAAACTGAAGTCAAATTAAAGGTGTTTATGCATTCAGCAAGGGATATCTCATTGGATGAGTCTAAAGTTTTATACACTTCAGATGATGGGTGCACAGAATTAGGCGAGATGATTGTCAAGATGCCAGATACTTCAAAAGGTACAAACAGAGAAGTTTTTGTATCTTTTGTAATAGGAGCTGAGATAGAAGTAAAAGCAATAGATGAAACAAGTAAAGAAGAATTTGAGGTGAAATTTGAGTTTTTAAATACTTTAAATCTATGTAAACAAAAGGAAGAAAATGAACTTGGCGCACAAAACATTTAATAAAAAAATCTCTTTGTTCAGTCAATACTGAAAAGGGCATTTAGGAAAACTGTATAGAGATAAATGTTACATGTGTTTATTGAAATGGAAAAAGAAAAACACGTAAAATGAATGAATTATAAACGTTATTTTCTACCAAATATGTATTCGACGGCCCTGAAAGTATGTGATGCTTGACACTTACATTTTATTGAAATATGTGCAGTGATATTTGCTGCAAAATTTAACAAAATACCAACGTAATTAGAAATTATTTCATCATTTTAATGAGCAAACATTATTGTCGACATCTTCTATCTTCATCATTTCGATTGAGGTTTACCTCAGAAATAAAGAACGCCGTAAAAGGTTTTGAAAAGACAGTGTACTGTTGGTTTTACATTTGTGAGAAATTGAGAAATTTTTTGCGTTCTCTATTGATTATCTCAACATTTGATACAACTGTTGACATATCTTCGTGAATATAAACTTTTAATTGGAAAATCTTATATGTGTAAATTAATTGATTCTATTTCATCTGTAATCATGTATAATACCTGTCTTGTCCTATCTGATCTGCCAGTGAAAACTGAACAGATCGTCAAAATTAGTTGGTAAGTGTATTATTTCTTCATATTGAATAAATATGTGTATAATTTGGATAACGCAATATAGGCCGTGTGAATTTTGTTTGTTTCTAATAGCTCATATTTTTTCGCCATTCTACAAGTCATGCATTATGTCTGTGTCATTTATGATAAAACTTGGAATATGTGTAATGATTTTGTTTTTTTTTAACCATACCTTCTTGATTTTATGTTTTTCATACTATTGTTCAAAGTCATTTGTGTTATTGAAATAATTCAAACAAAAGGTAAAGGTAAAGGCAGTCTAAATGAGCTGTCATAAAAAATCTTTACTATTACAATTTTTGTTTGTTTTAAATTTGTTAATGGATATATCAATCAGGACTTAGTTAAATACTAATTTTATCTTAACAAGTCACTTAACATTTTAAACATTTCTCGAACACGCACGTCAGTATTATCAAATTCTCTATAGACCTGCTTGTTTCAGTGGCTAAGTTCTGCTTTGCTTAAAAACTGATACAGGGAACGTTTACATTTGTAGAAAAAACAATTCATTTGCATTAATTTATACATATATGTAAAAATATTGTAATAAAGTTTTTCATGCAACGTCAGATGCAGTTTTTCAAAATTGACTGTTTTGTACATAAACTTAAGTGCTTATGCTTTTGAAAATAAAATTGATATTTTCATAATTAAATTAATTTTGCCACAAACACATTCATCATCATAAATGATAGGAGTAAGGTTGACTCAAATGTCAACTTGATGTTAAGAAGTAAGAAGGCAAATCACGGATCTAGTTCAAAACTTATATCTTGAAGGAAACTGAATAAACTTGACACAAATAAAGATTTTTTCCCCGTTCTATTAGTAATAAATAGACATGGCGAATGTCAAAAAAGTGTAAAATAAACTGTAAAAGAACACACTTCTATTATTATTGACATAATTATTGTCATGACAAAAAAAGAAAAAGATTTTAAAGAAGATTAAGATGTTGAACAACAGCAACAAGAAACAACAACAATCGGTATTATTTGAGACAGTCAACTAATCTCAACAATCCTGAAGTTTTAATAGTAAGCTAGGAAAAAAGATCAAAATTTAATGAAAAAAAATCAAATGAAAAATTAATAGCTATAGTTCAATCATCTTTATATATTTTGCACTAATTGATTTTTACTTACATCAAAGTATTAACATTGGGTTAAAGCTAAGTCATTTCCTTACACTGCTTGATACTTCTGCATTATTTCGGTTTCACAATCCACCACCCTTTGTTCAGATCTGAACAAACTCGTTATTATATTGGCACATAATACGATTCAAAAGATTTATGTTTATGCCAGTAAAATAAATAACTTACGTTATGAAGAGTTGGATCAGTATATAAGATACTGTTACCGGAAACGTTACCCCGAACAAATACTGTGATGATCCAATCATGAGATGTTGTCGACTTACGTTGGAAGGCAAGTGGTTTAAAGGCAACGACCCTTTGCCACTTGGCCACGACTGTCCCTCAGGATTCATTGATATTCCATAGTAATCAGAGACTACATAAACACCAATCACTTTCTTTAGCATACATATTTTTCTTTAGCAACTGAAGACTTCAATAGTAACAATTGCATTTCCAAAAGATTTATGGAGAAAAAAAACGTTCTAATTTATTTTAAAATAGAATAAGGAGCATTTAATTTTTCAATGCTCTAATATTTGATGTTATATTATTTCTGAATCTAAATGTACACTTACTAATACAATGTGGCAAACATTGCAGTAAAATATACCTTTCAAATAAATATTATATATATATATATTTGAATATACAAAATGAAAGTTGGCTTTGCCATCATTTTTTACAAAGACAGACTCGAGCTATAACACAGCAATTATTTATAAATAACTTAACCTACTAAATTAGCACATTCAAATAAAAAGACCTAGTAGGAAAAGGATGTGGATGTAGCTATATAGTTTCAATAATAAATATAGATCCGAATGATTTTTTTATTTCAATTATTTTTATCAACCTTTATTATAAACCTATTAAAAGGTGTCTACATTTAAAGGAACACCACTAAGGTCCAAAAAGCATCAAAACATTAAATTTTAGATTTTTACATAGATCAATAGAGATATCTAAAATATTATTGAGAAATAAACTCAGAAATAAATTTAAAATTGTACTTTTGTGTGAAAAGTGATGCAGCATGTATCGTGCCTCTTTAAGCAGTATTAAATTTTCAACACTAAAAACAACATAATCAATGATCCTGTAACAATAACACTGTGATGAAGTACAAGGATTTTTTTACATCTACACGATTTTAGAGCTTAAAAATCTGACAAAGGGAAAAATTATTCCTATGTCTTTGTTGTTAATTTGTCTAGACAATTGGCATTTCATTTCATTGGTTTATTGCTGAATGCATCTCATACACTTTCATGATTTTCTTTAATGATTTAGAAGTCAGTGATGTATAGAGGTTATTAATAAATGGAATCCAATGTTTGTATGTATCATGTTGACGATAATCATGTACAACAAAATGAGGATGTGTACTTTAGTGACAAATATATTACAACAAATATTTCTCTAACAAAGTCTACAACCTTTCTAATTAACATGAACATGTTTAGAAGAACAAACAACAGATTTGGCACATCTTATGAATAAAGTTAAATGACAGGATTTTGTTTTCTGTAGAAAATTGTATGAAAACATTTCATTTTATCATTTCATAAGTAAACATTAAACAATTTAATTTTGAGCAAATATGTAATGTGATGGTACCCTGATTGTTTGCTATGGATAAAGTCTAGCACAGGTGACATATTAAATGTAAAGTTACTGGCAAAATGTGTTAGAAATAATAAAACACTATAACTATGAATATGCTTGACTTGAACAAATACGTTTTGTCACACATTTGTGAGTGATATATCACTAAAAAGTTGACAAACAACAAATGACCTAAATTTAGCAATGTAAGGGAGCATACTTATTCTATTCATTTACTGATATTCTCAAAATATATACATCTCAACTGAGTTTAGCACACATTCAACAATCACTTAACATTGAGATAAAATCAATAGATAGATAGATAAATAGATAGATAGATAGATTTATTTCGGCAAAGGAAGAATATACATAGTTGACAATATAACATAGGATAAAATAATGAGCATTATTAAATACTATATCACATACGAGAAAACTATGACATGCTTACCAAAACCAAAGATAACACAAAAAAGGGCAAAAAACTCTTATTTCCATTGTGGTCCTTTGTAGTGGCGGCATGACATAGAGAGGCAGACCTAAATATAATCATGTTTAAAAATACTAATTAATCATAAAAATGTCTATCACAGTCAAATCTTGATTTAATGATACTCCTGTTTACAGCTAGGATTTAAAACACATTATTAAAATTGTAAAAAGATAAATAGCAGACAATTTAAAATCCTGAGCCGAAATATGTAAAAACATAGTAAAAAAATTTTAATACTGTTCATAAGATGACTTTTGATGGCAACCTTAAAACTTTGTAACCTGTTGATCTCCGTTAACTCTACAGGTAAATCATTCCATAATTTAATACCAGAGAAAGCAAAGGATTTAGAACCCTGACCTTTGACCTTAGGTAGACAATACCCACCCTTTTGACTAAGTCTTGTACTATAATTATGTACGGAATCTTGCGAAATAAAGTGTTCAGACATGTAATCCGGAGACAGGCCATTTTTTATCTTAAAAACATGACACAACATTATCTGTTCAACTCTTCTGTGGACCGGTAACCAGTTAAGGGACTTAAAGTGGGATGGGTCAATATGGGCTCTGGAATCCAAGTCAAGTACAAATCTCATTATTTTATTTTGACAAGTTTGTAACTTATTTTTTAAAGACTGTGTCAAGCTATTATACCAAACAGAGCATGCGTAATCATAGTGACACTGAATAAGAGACATAACCAGAAGTTTCTTGGTATGCTGAGTAAGAAACTCTTTCTTGCGGTAAAGAAATTTTAACCGAGAGTTGGCCTTCTTAAGAACAGACTCGGCCATGGCGCAAAATGACAGATTTTGGTCTATAGTAATCCCAAGATACTTGATAGATGAAGTTGATTCAATGGATGTACCAGAACAGGTTATATGCATGTTAGATTGTGACCCAAGCTTCTGCCTGGACCCAATTAAAATTGACTCGGTTTTACTCAAGTTGCAACTTATTGTCCACTAACCATTGGCTGACCAATTCCATATCATCTGTCAATGCCTTATCAACAACAGATAAACTTTTACCAGATACAAGGATACCAGAATCATCAGCATACAAAAGCAATTTATTTTTGATCACAGCTGACATATCGTTTACATAAATTAAAAAGAGAAGGGGTCCAAGGCTTGAGCCCTGAGGAACATCACATGCTATTTTTGAGTTGGAAGAATAAGTACCAGAGACTTCTGCAAGCTGCTGTCTATCTGATAAATATGATTTGAACCAATTTAGGACGTCAATACTAAGACCTGATGCTTGCAGTTTCATTAAAAGAATGGAATGGTCGACTGTGTCAAACGCTTTCTGCAATTCCAGCAGCACCATACCAACAACATTACCTTTATCGTTTACATACCTGATAAAGTCTGTAAGGTGAATCAGACAAGTATCAGTAGAGAAGCCACTCCTGAAACCTGATTGAAATTATACAGCAGATCTTTATCCTTAAAATAAGCTTCAACCTGGTCATAAACCACCTTTTCAAGGATTTTAGATACAACATTTAAAATGGACACAGGCCGGTAATTACCAACAGACAATTTGTCGTTCTTTTCATAGAGGGGAACAACTCTTGCAGATTTAAGATCATCTGGACTTGACCTTGGGTAAGGGATAAGTTTATGATATGAGCTAATGGACTAGCAATAACTGGGTATCCATCTCTGATAAAACGTGAAGGTATACCATCTAAGCCAGTAGCTTTTTTGACACCTAATGAAGTTAAGTATTTAAAAACTTTACTTTCAGAAACAATGGAACAAGAAAAACTGTTTGCAAAAACACCCTTATTTGCATAAAAATTATTACCAAAATTCGTACCAAATTTATGCATACTTTCTGGCAACTTTTCAACAAATTTACATGCAACTGTTGTATAAAATTTGTTAAATGATTCAGTGTCTTTTCAAAACACACATTGTCATCGATATTTAAACAAATATTTGAACTGGTTGATGATGAACCCTTCTGGGAAGGCAAACCAAGATTTTTAACAGTTTTCCATAAAGAAGTTGAATCATTTTTGTTCTCCTCAAGTGTATTAGTAAAATATTCCTTTTTTGAGTCTTATATGAGTCATAATTATCACAGTTTCTATCACATTTTTATTTATTAAAAGCTTTATCCCTTTCATTAATTACACTAAGAATGTCTGAGTCAATCCATGACTCTGTTCTCTGTTTAATTCTGGTCTGTTTCACAGGAGCTATATTGTCTATCACAGATAAAAGTAACTGTTTAAATATATTCCAGGCATCATTTAC